AAAAACTTCAAACATTGTTAATCATCAAGGAAATGCAAATCAAAATCACATTGAGATACCATCTCACCCAAGTTAGAATTACTGTTGCCAAAAAAGGAACAAAAGTTAGCAGAATGCCAGAAAATGAGAACACTCATACACTGGTCGAAATGTAAATGAGTACAGTCTTTAAGGAAAACAGTATGGAGATTCCTCAAAAAAAGTGAAAATACAACTACCATATGATTCAGCAGTCTCACAGCTGGATATCCAAAAGAAAGGAAATCAGTATGTCATAGAGATATCTGTACTCCCATGTTTATTTTAGCACTATTCACAGTCAACCAAAGCGTCTATTAATAGATAAATGGATGAAGTCTTTTAGTATTTGTGGTGTGAGGTTCTGTGTGTGCTGGAGCATATCTTCAACACTAAGGCAGCCTGCAAGTTGGCCTTAGCCTTTACTTCCTGCTTGTGCAGGGCCTCAGGATCAGCCAAAAGGGAGAGCTGAACAGCTTCTCAGGTCTTTTGTGGTCATGTGCATGGCTCTGCACATTTGTGTGGTCTTCAAGATCATTAGGGATATTTCAGAGCTTCTCAAAGCCATTTGTGGACATCTCATTCCCTAAATCATACTGTTATTATTATTATTATTTATTATTATTATTGAGACAGGGTCTGGCTCCGTCACCCGGGCTGGAGTATAGTGGTGTGATCTCACCTCACAGCAACCTCTACCTCCTGGACTCAAGTCATTCTCCCACCTTAGCCTCCCAAGTAGCTGAGACTATGGGTGCATGCCACCACACCTGAATAATCTTTGTAATTTTTGTAGAGAACTAGTTTCACCATGTTGCCCAGCTTGGTCTCAAATGCCTGAGCTCAAGCAATCTGCACATCTCAGCCTCCCAAAGTGCTGGGATTACAGGCATGAGTCACTGGAACAGGCCCCTTTTACATTATTGGTCATGCTCTTGTTTGCTAAACTAGTATCATGGCCTTAGGCAGCTGCTGCTCTATTAGACAACTGTAACTTATTTTTGGCAAACACCACAGGGAATGGCTTTTCCCACAGATAAGGTTTGATTTAGTTCAATTTATGGAGGTTTTCCAGGAATCAGTAAGACAGACGAAATAGTGACAATGCCCTAGCAATGGGACTATTTGGGAAGCTCTTAAACCCACCTTATTTCCCCCAGTGGTAGCTAGGTTTCTGGTTTTCACAGCTACTGTGGTTGAGGCTGTTGGTTTTCAACGTTATACAGAACTTGGGGCAAGTGGTAAAAGTAGGCCAGTCAAAATGCCACAAACCCTGCCATTTTTGCTGACGTTCTGAAGTTTTTATTGAATTCATTGCTCCCTTAGATTGTTATAAGCCTTTGTTTAATATCCAGAGTTCCAAAAAGATCGATTTTGACAAATTTGCGAATATTTTGATTTTTATTGAAGAGCACATTTATGAAGGCCCTCATTCCACCATTGCAGAAGTCCCAGCTGTTGCATTTTTATCTAAGACTATGACTTCATTGCATCCATATTTCTTATATATCAGGAGTTAAGAAACTAAATTTCAATGAAAGTCAAGTGGGTGACACAAATGAGAAAACTGGTTCTTTGGTAAGGATCTAGGATGTGCTTGTGGGTCCCATGGGTCCATTTTGGGGAATGCCTCCTTCTCAGGTCTAGCCCCCTAGTCTCCATTTGGAAATAGGGACCAGATATTGCCAGATTTTACAATTTATCCAAAGAAACAAGAAATCTAGATTCTTTTAAAAAAGAAAATGTGGGCAATTTTTCTGCATTGGTGAAGTGAAGTAGCACACTCCTGTGGGCCAGATTTCACCAGCAGGTCCATGGTATTGTATTTCTTATTAAAATCTGGTGATAATACACACTAGACATTGTCTTTGGTTTTTTTTGTTTTCCATAGAACATCATAAGTCACATGATTTTCTGCATAACTGCCCTCTTTTATAATATGAGGAAGCTCTGTTATAAGCCTCATAATAGAATTTTTGTTTCTAGCTCATTTTGAATAAGAAGCAATCTATCCTTCTGGAGTTTTCTGACAGAAGGCATGGATTGCTTCTCAATAACTTCCTCTTCCCCACTTCTATCTCCAGGTCTCTCAATACCATTTGAATATGCGGTCCTGGGTAAGATGCTATGTGTCATCAACCAAAAATGTACAGGATATAAATCTGGAAGGGGTTAGCAAATGAAAGAAATTAATCTGGTTCTGAAGAGGTCTTCAGTGTGAGTTTTTGGTAGTTCTCTGCCATTTTCAGGCAAAGCTCTCCTTTTGGAAATACTCAGTGTGCAACTGCAGCCATAACCGAGGCCTATGCCTGTTGCAAAGTGAAACACAATTAGCAGTGAGGATCAGATTTTGTGTGTGTATGTCTTCAAGCATTTAAACCATCTGAAACCTGACAAAAATGTTTTCTTGGCCCTCAGTTGTTCATTGTAGAGTGTGATAAACATTGTGCTTTGTTTGCCTAACTCAAAAACGTTGGCAGTTTACCCTGAAACTTTGTAAGTATTCTGTAAAGATAAGCTGTTAATTATTTTTCATTCTAGGCAAACTAACATGAGGTTATTGCCTAGCCTACCTTGCCTAGTGTAGGGAATCCTTGCGCATTAATCTTTTTTAATCATGTTGTTCCTTCCTGTGGTCTGTACCATTGTTCTTTGTCAAACCTTCTCTAATGTTCTGATAGGGCATTATAAAATGGAAATTACTCCCAGTTCTTTTCCTCATCAGAGACTTATGCTTTTATCTCCAGAATGTATAGGTTTAATGTTAAAGTAATATTTCTCTGTGGCCAGCCCAGAATTAAACCATAGGAAAATATATTGCCAGAAAATCAAATTTAGCTTGGCATTGTGGCACAATATCCACCCATTCTGAAAGAGTAGATAGAAATTTATTTTTCAACTTAGTTCTTCTCTCCTAGTCCTCACTGGCAAAGATCAGTTGGATGTTAATATCTACTGATTTTGAAATTGGTAGGAAAAGAGAAAATGAAATGTTTGTGGAGTAAAAGAGCGAGATTGAGGAACAAAAACATATATTTGATTTGTGAAGGGATAATAATAGGTTAGATAAAATATCTGCCTTCCTGAATGTGAAAGGAGCCAGAAAATTTTCTAACTTCTAGAATTTATAAATTGGGTATCTGAAAGAGACAGGCTGACAAATATTTTATTCTTCCAAATAAGCACCATTTTCTATCAGAAAACTTAATGTGTCAAGTGAATAAAAAGACAAGCCACAGATTAGGAGAAAATATTTGCAAATGGCACATTTGATAAAGAACTGTTATCTGAAATATACAGGGAACCCTTAAAACTCAATAAGAACATGAACAACCTTATTTTGAACTGCGCAAAAAATCCAAACAGAAAACTCACCAAAGAATATATACATATGGTATATAAGCTTATTAAAATATGCACAACATCCTATATCATTAGGGAAATGCACATCAAAACAACAGTAAGATGGCATTGCATACCTATTAGGATGGACAAAATCTGGAACTGACATTACCCAATGCTGGTAAGAATGTGGAATAATAGTAACTGTCATTCATTGCTGCTAGGAATGCAAAACGATGCCTTGGAAGTACCCAACAGGAAAGCTCACTCACTGCTGGTAGGAATGTAAAGTGGTACTTTGGAAGATGGTTTGGCAGTTTCTTAAAACAAAACTAGCTGTACTCTTAACATACGATTCAGCCATTACACTTCTTGGTATTTATCCAAAGGACTTGAAAATTCCTACACAAAAATTTGCACATGAATATGTATAGCAGATTTATTCATGTTTGCCAAAACTTAGAAGCAATCAAGTTGTCTCTTAGTCGGTGAATTGATAAACTATGGTACATCCAGATAATTGAATATTATTCATTATTAAAAAGAAATGAGCTATCAAGGCATGGAAAGACAGAATAATCTTAAATGTATCTTACTACATGAAAGAAGCCAATCCAAAAGGACTACATGCTGTATAATTCCAACTATATGACTTCTAGAAAAGGCAAAACTATGGAGACAAAAAGACCGGTAGTTGCAGGGCTTAAAGGGAGAGTGGAATGAATAGGCAGAGCACAGAAGATTTTTAGGGCAGTGAAACTAGTGTGTATGTAACTATTGTAGATACATGTCATTATAAATGGTTCAAACCCATAGAATGTACAACACTGAGAGTGAACCCTAATGTAAACAATGAATTTGGGGTGATAGTGATGTCAGTATAGGCTCATCAGCTGTAATGAATGTACCCCTGGGGATGTACCATAGGGGTGGGAGATGTTGATGGTTGGGAAGGCTTTGAGAAGGGGATAGGTGGACGGTATATGAGAACTATGTACTTTCTGGTCAGTTTTGCTGTGAACTTAAAACTGCTCTACAATGTAAAGTTTATTAAAAAAAAAAAAAAAACTTACTGTGTAGCACTAGGCCATATTGTTATGTTAATTTTTTTAAAAAAGGAAATTATCAAGATTGCAAAAATTATGCAAAAACTTGTTTGTATTTTTGTCCCAAATTGATTTGTGTTAAGGTTCAGTGAAAACTAAAATAGAGTAAACATAGTTGAGCAAATGAGCAGGAAATATGAGCATATTCTGAATGGTAAAGATACAAAGGTCTTCTCCCTTGTGGTATTTGAAAAGGTTCCTCTTATCTTCTTTCCATCTTTAAATGTGAGTGCATTCATCATTCTCTTTTATTTCTTCATATTTTCCATCTATCTATTTTTTATAAAGGTAGTGGTGCTGAGAACAAAAGTATTAAAACAATGGTAGCCTGACGTGGGATAATTAATTAAAGCTTTTAAGTTAGGATCAATTTCTGAAACCTCGTACTCAATGGTGGGTTCTCTATTTCACTGATGTTTGCAAGGTTTAGGTCTGCTGATTTAAAAGGTTTTTAGAAATATGTCCAGTTTCTGGTTATAATTCAGTGCTATCATAATGGGGAAATAATAATTCTATATGAGGACGTTAAAAAAATCTCCATTGAACACCTACTTTTATTTCTTTAGTTGATCAGAAGCCTTTTAGTAATTTTTTTTAATATCTCAGAGGCATCAGCATTTTATGAAGTTTACAAGACCCCTGACCTGGTTATTTTCTAAGTTAGAATTATACCAGCATGTTTCTTTCTGACCCTAAGATGATGTACATTTGCTGCTTCTCTCAGACCTGCCCTATCTGTCACTCTGGTTATACTTGACTTCTGGGATCTAGGAAGTACATTTCTGGTATACTCAGAGTCAGCCAGACTGTTATAAAAGATGAGATCCATTCCAAGGTCAAAGATGTAGATTTCTTGCTGTGTTTTCTTCTCCAAAATAAAGAGGATTAAAGAGGCTTGGGGAAATTCTACCCACTAGGGTTTTACAAACTGTACCCAGACTGGGAAGGAAGCATTATTTTTACCATGCTCCAGATTGGATCACTTTTGCATGGTTTAAAATAAGATATTTTTAGACAACTTTATAAAACTTAAACTCTGGGTATGAATTGTCTTCATGTTTATGGGAGGCTTCTGCTCAATCATAGTCAAAGTCTTGGTTGTATTTCTCTCATCTGTGAGGCAGCTCCTCCCTAAATGCAGAAGGCTACAGTGGTCAGCACTCAAATATTGGTGCTTTCATGAGAGTTTTTTAGCCTCTCCCTGGAATGGTACAAGATTTTACAATTGGTAGTATTATGGCCAAAATCTGCTTATCAAAATAACTACAGAAAATCTTAGGCAAATGGCTTCCTTAATATGTTGAGTATCTTTGTTCATCTATGACTTGATATATTCAATTGCTGATAATCACCCATGGAATAGATGAGAGCTAGAAAAATATATGGAAATATTCACCTAGCTCACAAGAGTAAAAGGTGGCCAAATGTGTACTAGTTACGAAGTATACTAGGACTCCCATTTTCCTAGCAACTGAGTCCTCCACCAACATTTAAAACTATTAAAATAATAAACTTATTGTATTTAAAATATTAATGAAATAATATATAAGAATTATACAATATATTATTAATTTTTATATATTAAAATATAGTAATATATAAAATAATAAAATGAAATTGTTATTTAAAACTGTAATAATAAAACTATTATTTTAATAACATACAAACATGTTTAAATAGTGTCATCCAGGGACTGGAAGAAGGAAGTGGAATGTGAAGGGTTTTATGGTTAGAAAGACATATTCTTGTTAATTGTTTATGAATAAACTACACTCTTTCTATTTCATTTTTAGCATCTGAAACATCCTTTCACCCATGTCACCAAATCATCCTGTATTTTGCATAAAACACTTTGAGTAACTTGAAGAAAAGTGATATAGAAACATAACCTTTTGGTTCTATATGAAATTTAAGGTGTTTTTTTCCAGTTCTGTGAAGAAGGTCATTGGTAGCTTGATGGAGATAGTGTTGAATCTGTAAATTACTTTGGGTAGTATGGCCATTTTCATGATATTGATTCTTTCTAACCATGAGCATGGAATGTTTCTTCATCTTTTTGTGTCCTCTCTTATTTTGTTGAGCAACGGCTTGCATTTCTCCTTGAAGAGGTCCTTTACGTTCATTGTTAGTTGTATTCCTAGGTATTTTATTCTCTTTGTGATAATTGTGAATGGCAGTTCGTTCTTGATTTGGCTCTCTTTAAGTCTGTTATTGGTGTATAGGAATGCTTGTGATTTTTGCACATTCATTTTGTATCCTGAGATTTTGCTGAAGTTGCTTATCAGTTTCAGGAGATTTTGGGCTGAGACAATGGGGTCTTCTAAATAAACAATCATGTCACCTGCAAATAGAGACAATTTGACTTCCTCCTTTCCTATTTGAATACCCTGTATTTCTTTTTCTTGCCTGATTTCTCTGGCTAGAACTTCCAGTACTATATTGAATAGGAGGGGAGAGAGAGGGCATCCTTGTCTAGTGCCAGATTTCAAAGGGAATGTTACATTGAGATACCATCTCACACCAGTTAAAATGGTGATCATTAAAAAATCCGGAGACAACAGATGCTGGACAGGATGTGGACAAATAGGAACACTTTTACTCTTGGTGGGAGTGTAAATTAGTTCAACCACTGTGGAAGACAGTGTGGCGATTCCTCAAGGACCTAGAAATAGTAATTCCATTTGACCCAGCAATCCCATTACTGGGTGTATATCCAAAGGATTATAAATCATTCTACTATAAGGACACATGCACATGAATGTTCATTGCAGCACTGCTTACAATAGCAAAGACCTGGAACCAACCCAAATGCCCATTGATGATAGACTGGACAGGGAAAATGTGGCACATATACACCATGGAATACTATGCAGCCATCAAAAACAATGAGTTCGTGTCCTTTGTAGGGACATGGATGAACCTGGAAACCATCAATCTCAGCAAACTGACACAAGAGCAGAAAATCAAACACCGCATGTTCTCACTCCTAGGTGGGTGTTGAACAATGAGAACACATGGACGCAGGGAGGGGAGCACTACACACTGGGGTCTGTTGGGGGGAAATAGGGGAGGGACAGCGGGGGGTGGGGAGTTGGGGAGAGATAGCATGGGGAGAAATGCCAGATAGAGGTGATGGAGAAGAAGGCAGCAAATCACACTGCCACGTGTGTACCTATGCAACAATCTTACATGTTCTTCACATGTACCCCAAAGCCTAAAATGCAATAAAATAAAATAAAATAAACATAACCTTAGCTCCTTCCCCAACTCTTAATATATTTTCATTGATTCCTAATTAGATTCCTGCCCAAAGTGTCTAAAATCCAAGGAAATACCACCAGTCCCCTCCAGCTATATAGTATTCCATGGTGTACATGTGCTACATTTTTTTTTTTGTCCAGTCTATCATTGATGGGCATTTGGATTGGTTCCAGGTCTTTGCTATTGTAAACAGTGCCACCATGAACATACGTGTGTATATGTCTTTATAATAGAATGATTTATAATCCTTTGGATATATACCCAGTAATGGGATTGCTGGGTCAAATGGTATTTCTCTTTGTAGATCCTTGAGGAATCGCCATACTGTCTTCCACAATGGTTGCACTAATTTACACTCCCACCAACAGTGTAAAAGTGTTTCTAACGCAGCTAACGACTTTAAGTTGAAGCCAATGCTCATTGACCAAAAATCCTAGAACCCTGAAGAATAGTGCTAAATGGGCTCTGCCTGTGCTTTATACGTGGAACAAGAAAGCCTAGATGTCGGCATGTCTGTTTATAGTAGGGTTATTGAACATTTGAAGTCCACTATTGAGACCCACTGCTCAGAAAAAGAAATTCCTTTCAAAACATTACTGTGCATTGACGATGCACCTGTTCACCCAAGAGCTCTGATGGAGGTGTACAAGGAGATTAATGTTGTTTTCATGGCTGCTAACACAATATCCATTCTGCAGCTCATGGATCAAGGAGTAATTTTGATTTTCAAGTCTTATTATTTGAAAAATAGATTTTGTAAGACTATAGTTGCCATAGACAACAGTTCTTCTAATGGAAATTAAAAACCTCCTGGAACAGATTCACCATTCTAGATGACATTAAGAATATTCATAATTCATGGGAGAATGTCAAAATTGCAACCTTAACAGGAGTTTGGAAGAAATGGATTCCAACCCCTCACTTTGAAGGGTTCAGCTTAAAGTCACCAGCTGCATTAGTTCCTAGCAACTTGAGTTAAAGAAGGAACTGTAGATGTGGTAGGAATAGCAAGAGAACTAGAATTAAAAGTGGGTTCTGAAGATATGATTGAATTACTGCAATCTCATGGTAAAACTTGAACTGATGAGCAATTGTTTCTTATGGATGAAAAAAGAAGGTTTCATGAGGTGGAATCTACTGCTGAAGAAATTGTGAACATTGGCAAAATGACAATGAAGGATTTAGAATATTAAATAAGTTTAGTTAATAAAGCAAGGGCAATTTTTGAGAGGACTCCCATTTTGAAAGTAGTTTTATTGTGAGTAAATGCTATCAGACAGAATCACATGCTACAGAGAAAGCTTTTTGTAAAAGGGAGAGTTAATTGATGACAAAGACTTTATTGTTTTCTTACTTTAATAAATTGCCACAGCCACCCCAGCCTGCAGCAAACACCACCCTGGTTAGGCGGCAGGCATCAACACTGAGTCAAGGCCCTCCACCAGCAAAAAGATCATGACTCTTTGAAGGCTCAGATGATTGTTAGAATTTTTTAGCAAGAAATAATTTTTAATTAAAGAGTGTGCATTTTTGAGACATAATGCTATTGCATACTGAAAATACTACTATATAAACATAATTTTTATATACACTGGTAAACTAAAAATTATGACGTGACTTGCCTAATATGGGGTATTTTGCATTACTGCCATAATCTGAAAGTGACCTTCCAATATATCCAAGGTATGGCTGTATAAGAAAAATGTCATATATATTTCTTTTCAGTTTCTGAGCTGTGGGTAGAGGCTTGGAGCTTCAAAAATGTTTGATTTGGATAATGCTAGGGAAAATTACGTAGTACATTTCTTTTTTAAGTAGTACTGTTGTTCTCTCCCATTTTGCTCCCACAGAATATCTCTGTGAAGGCAATGGATTTCCTCATTCTCAGCCAACTTTTAAGAATAGAGGTCATTTGCATAATACTGATGTGTAGTTGCAGTTTTTTTTCTTTTTGGAGGCACATAGAATTCTGATTCTTTGCACACTGCTTCCCTCTTTCTCTTATCTCTCTTATCTCTCTCATTCCCAAATACAATGGTCTTGAGCATTTAGATCAGGGGAATCTTCATGAGGTAGCCTCCAAGGGTTGAGACTCCCTATTAAACAGAACAGAGAGGAAGGAGTGGCTGACTGGTTTTCTTAATACTGGAGAAAATAACATCCTGGTGATGTGATGGTAACTATCTCTTATTTATCTACCTAAAAAACTTCTACAAGGATCTTTCACTGCCTTGGTCAGGATCTATCAAAAATCCACCTTTTCTTCACATTCAGATAAAAGCATATTACACCTGAAAAATTGGGCCCAGACAGAGTTTGGCTATCATCTCTTCAAGGAAACATTTGCCAAACTTTCTAGCCAGGTCCTGCATTGGGCACCCTAGTCCCTGCCTTAGTTAATGTAGTGATATTGAAATGATCTGATATGTTTACTATCTCTGTATTCCCAGTCTGTATTAGTTTATTCTCATGCTTCTATAAGGTTATACCTGAGACTGGATAATTTATAAAGGAAAGAGATTTAATTAACTCGCAGTTCCATGGGACTGGGGAGGTCTGAGGAAACTTACACTAATGGTGGATGGAGAAGCAAACATATCCTTCTTCACATGGTGACAGAAAGGAGAAGTGTATAGCTAGGTTGGGGAAAAGCCCCTTATAAAACCATCAGATCTTGTGAGAACTCACTCATTATCAGGAGAACAGCATGTAGGTAACTGCCCCCATGATTCAATTACCTCCCACAAGGTCCCTCCCATGACACATTGAGATTATGGAAACTACAATTTTAGATGAGATTTGGGAGGAGACATGGCCCAATCATATCACAGTCCCTAGGATTTTGTGATCCTTAGGCACTATAAAACTCAAGGGTAACCATTCACACTTGTAGTTATCTTAGATTTGTGTGTTTCTCACAACACTTTTCAGGTGGGTGGCACTAAAACAGCTTGAGGGAGGGAAGGCACTTTCTGTTTCTTAAAATGTCAGCATTAGGGCTGGTGACAGGGTTGATCTTCTTTATTGCTTTGTCCTTAGAGATGGTACAGAGCTTAGCAATGAATATGAAACTTAAAAAAAATGTTTGTAGAATACCTAGATGAATGGACTTACTGTGCTTTCAATATGTGATTTTCAAATCAAATGAAGGTATGCTTTTTTTGTAGCATTCCAAATCTATTAAACATGTTCTCCTTCTGAATATTTCTTTCTCCAAGTGGCTATATGTACACAGATCCATTTATAGTTTTTTTTTTCTCTTCCAAATGTGGCTAAAAAGTCATTACCTCAAACTCTGCCTTTTTATCTTCATATTTATTTATCACATTCCAGAGCAACAATCCATCTACAACAAAGGCCATAACTTGAATTGGTTTCTGGCCTTGCTAAAAACTGATCTAAGTTGGCCTCAGATTTCTGTCTTAAGATGTGGGGTTGTTGGAACATCAATTACGGTCCCCTTAGACCAATTAAAGCTAGTGCTGTTTTAATTAGTTTCAACAAGATTGATTAGGAGTCAACAAGAGAAGCTTTGATGATGTGAACTCTTGGGCAATATATTGGCTGTCTTTCTAAATCATGTTATGGATTTGAGTATAAACTGACATTTGTTTAAAAGTTCTATCACTTTTCATTGTACATCTATAAATGGTGGCATTTAATAAAATCAACATGTTTAAAAATTACACACTAAATACATGTGTGCATATGATTAGCATAAAAACTATTACTTTAAAAAAATTAAAGCAAATAAAAAGGTAAAATGGCATAACCTAAAATAATAATTATTCTATTTTTCTTGGAAAGAAAATTATGTTTCATGGTAATTTTAAAATACAAATAACATATGAAATGATAGAAAAATATATAAAAATTAAATGAACTTCCATTTGACCTCCTTGAGATAATCCAGTGCATACTTTGTACCATTAATTTTATGCATTTAAACTTAAATCCAGATATAGGATTGTTTATAAAAAATGAGTTTTAACTGTATATGTTTTTCTGCAGCTTTCATTCTTCATTTATTCATGTAAAATAGAGAGCCCTCTAGAGAGTGAATATAAATCTAACTTGTCCTTTTTCTATGTATGCATTATATTCTACAGAGTAAATATAATTTATATAACTATTTATTATTGCCTATTCAGATTGATCATCACTATGAACAGTGATTCAGTAAATATCCTTCCTTTATATGCTGACAGTATTTTTAGCCTGTAAGAAGCTTGGAAGTGGACAATCTGAGTAAATTGTATATCCCTGTTGATTGAAGATATGATCTTACATCTGTAAAACCTAAAGACTACACTAAAAAAAAACCCTTAGATTTGATAAATGAATTCAGTAACATTTCAGGATACAAAATCAATGTACAAAAATCAGTAGCATTTCAAAAGACCAATAATAGTCTAGCTGAGAACAAAGTCAAGGAGTCAATCTTATTTACAAAAGCTACAAAAAATATCTAGGATATATTTAACCAACAAAGTAAACATTGCCTAGAAGAAAACCTATAAAATACTGATGAAAGAAATTGAACAGGGAACAAATGTAAAAACATCCCATGCTTGTGAATTAGAAGAATTAATATTGTAAAAAAGACCATACTGCCCAAAGCAATCTAAAGATTGAGTGCAATCTCTATTAAAATACCAATGTCATTTTTCACAGAATTAGAAATAACTATTCTAAACTTCATATGGTACCATAAAAGAACCCGATTAGCCAAAGAAATCCTAAGCAAAAAGAACAAAGCTGGAAACAACACATTAGCTGTTGTCAAATTACACTGCAAAGCTGTAATAACCAAAACAGCATGATACTGGAATAAAAATAGACACCTATAACAATGGAAGAATAGTGAACCCAAAAATAAATCCACCTATCTACAGCTACCTGATCTTTGACAAAGTTGACAAGAACATACACTGGAAAGGACACTTTCTTTCATAAGTGGCGTTGCTGGGAAAATTGGATTGCTATATACAAAATGAACCCCCATCCTTTACCATATATGAAAATCAACACAAGATAAAGTCTTAAATATAAGACTTGAAACAATAAGATTACTGGGGAAAAACCTAGGGAAAAAACTCTTCTGGACATTGGTCTAGGCAAATAATTCATGGCTAAGACCTCAAAAGCACAAGTAACAAAAACAAAGTCAAAAGTGACTTAGTTAAACTAAAAAAACTTTTGTACAGCAAAGGAAATAAGAGTGAATAGACAACCTGCAGAATAGGAGAAAATATTTGCAAACTATGCATTATGTAAGGGTCTAATATATAGAATATACAAAGAATTTTAAAAACTCAACAAAATAACCCCACATAACACCATTAAAAAGTGGGCAAAAGATATGAATAGACAGTTTTCAAAAGAAGACATACAAATGACTAACAGTTATATGAAAAAAAAATGCTCAACATCACTAATCCTCTGAGGCAAATTAAAACCACAGTGAGATACCATCCCAGTCAGAATGGCTATTATAAAAAAGCAAATAACAGATGATGGCGAGGATGCAGAGATAAGGGAACTCATACACTGTTGATGGGAATGTAAATTAGTCCAAACTGTGGAACACAGTATGGAGATTTCTCAAAGAACCAAAAATAGAACTACCATTTGATCCAGCAATCCCACGGGTATGTACTTAAAATAAATCATTATATTACACAGAAATCTGCACTTGTATATTATCACAGCACTTTTCACAATAGCAAAGATATGAAATCAACATGTGTCCATCACTAGATGCTTGAATAAAGAAAATGTATATATGCACAACAGGATAGTATTCAGCCATAAAAAAATGAAATTATGTCTTTCACAGCAACATGGATGGAACTGGAAGCTATTATCTTCAATGGAACAAGCCAGATATAGAAAGACAAATACTGTATGTTCTCACTCATAACTGGAAGCTAAATAATATGTTTGCAAATACACAGTGTGGAATGATAAACTGTGGAGACTCAGAAGGGTGAAAGTGTGGGAGGAGGCTGGATGATGAGAATTTACTTAATGAGTACAATGTACGTTATTCAGGTGAATCTACTAAAGGACGTGACTTCATCACTAGGCAGTCTGTGCATGTAATAAAATTACACTTCTCCATAAATGTATACAAAATTTTTTATGTACATTAAAAATCTTTATTCCACAGAAATAATTTCTGGAAAGATTGTAATAGTAGACAGTTTTCAGACTAATGCCTTTCTTAAATTCCCACAAAGAAGCCTAGTTTTTATTGTTCTGCTCTGTGCAGAACTTGGGCAACTCTGCTAGGCTGACTGTCTTCCATACCCCTCCGAGGAACTGTGGCAGTCACTTTCCTTCACTCTGGAATTTCCAAACTTAACTGCTGGCTTCTTGGCTTTCTCTCGACTTAGATCACGGTAGGGGCAACACTGCCTTTCAAAGACTCTGTGGCATCTAGTGTTTGTTGTTTCCATCTCCTCTCCTCATCTGTCTCTTGGAAAGCTCTCTTCTTCCTCTGACCTTTGAAAATTTTCCTTCTTTTGCCTCATTTTCCATTCTGCCCTCCCCACCCTGGTCTTCTTGTCTTTGGTAGATTCTTTTCTTCTTGACTCCTTTTCTTTTTCCTGTTCCCATTCCTAATGTTTAGTTCTCATTCCTAATTTAATTTTCCTGTTTCACAGAATCATTTATCTTCTTTGTTTCAGTTTTAACTTTCATCTCTGAGACGCTAAACCAAATGTGTATACTTTCTATTTCTCCCAG